TTCATAGCAAATCAATGTTTTTATTATGTAATATAGCTTAACTAACAAGCATGGTTTAACTCCGCCAGTAGAACATTAGGGGCTACTGCCGGTCCCAAGCCCGAGTAAAGGAGGAGGGTTGAACAGGGGGTTGGCGACCCCATTCCGTCAAAAACTAACTTGCCAAAAAAACGCTAACCAGAAAAAATAATCCAAACCATTTTAACTCTGCCCTGGGAGTTGGAAGAAGAATTATGACGTCGCGTGATGAAAGTCACGGGGCCGATGCCTCTTCTGACAACCAGAGCAACCATTTTTTTAGGTACGTGGAACGTTGGTACATTGTGGGAGACCTGAAGACTATTTCAAGTTGTGGCAGAAATGAAAAGATACAACCTCGAGGTGCTCGGCATCAGTGAAACGCATTGGACACTAGGTAGGACAACTGAGACTAGCTTCAGGGAACTGCTGTTATACTCTGGTTGTCAGAAGAGGAAAATGCTTCACATACACAAGGAGTTGCACTGATGCTGTCCAAACATGCACAAAAGGCACTGATAGGATGGAAATCTCATGGACCCAGGATCATTAAAGCATCCTTCAAAACAAAGAAACAGGACATTACAATGAACGTCATCCAATGTTATGCATCCACCAATGACTACAATGACGACGTTAAAGATCAATTCTACGAAAGGCTGCAGTCAATCGTCGAGAAATGTTCACCAAAGGATTTAACGATTCTTATGGGAGACCTGAATGCCAAGGTTGGAATGGACAACACTGGATATGAAGACATCATGGGACGACATGGACTGAGAGAAAGAAGCGAAAATGGTGAGAGATTTGCAAACCTATGTGCCTTCAACAATGAGAAGCGCCTAACTGCGTGACGAGACAAGCCCTCACATGGAACCCTCAAGGCAAAAGGAAAAGAGGAAGGCCAAGAACACATTACGCCGAGAAATAGAGAAAGATATGAGAGGAATGAACAAACATTGGACAGAACTGGAGAGGGAAGCCCAGGACAGAGTTGGTTGACGAAACTGGTGGGCGGCCTATGCTCCACTGGGGGTAACAGACGGAAGTAAGTAAGTAACAAGCATGGTTTAATTCGTGTCTTTATCACCTTTAACATGGTAATTAGGCACAAAACTATAGAGCCTGATGATGAACTTATTACAAATTTATTCATGAATAAAGGATTCATAATGCATTTGAACATCATACAACTTACTTTTGTTTGATCACTCCTATTCCTTTATTTGCTTACTTACTCAAGCCTGTTACCCCTAGTGATGCATAGGCTGTCAACGAGCGTTCGCCCACCTACTCTGCCTTAAACCTTCCTCTACAGTTCTATCCAATTATTATTCATTGTTCTCAAGTCTGCCTCTAATTCTCAGCGTAACTTCTTCTTTAGTCTTCCACCCTGATTATTCCAAATGGGGGCTTGTCTTGTGATGCAGTTGGATTCTTTCCTCAACTTGTGTCCTATCTACTTCCAGCACCTCTTCCTGATTTCTTCTTCAGATTGAATTTGGTTTGTTCTCTCACACAGTAAGTAGTTGCTGATGAAGTCAGTACAATAGATCCTGAGTATCTTGCATAGATAACTGTTAATAAACACCTGTATCTTCTGAATGACAGCTTTTGTGGTTCTTCACGTTTTGACATTTGTATTGAAAATTGTGTTTTTGATGTTTTTTGATAGTTGTTTTGAGTTCCAGATATTCTTCAGTTGTAGAAAATTTGCCCTTACTTTGGTAATTCGTGACTTAACATCTGCATCAGATCAACCTTTCTAATCAATGATGCTGCCCAGATATGTAAAGGTTTCTACACCTCCCAAAACTTCTCCATCAAGTGTGGTTTGATTGGTGCATATTGTGTTGTATCAGAGAATCGTGCTTTTCTCCTTGTGCATGTTGAGAGTTGCTGCTACTGAGATTGCTGCTACATCGGTCGTCTTCACTTGCATATGTTGCTGCGTGTGCTATAGGAGAACCAAGTAATCTGCGAAGTCCAGATCGTCCAGCTGCATCATGGTTGACACTGTATACCGTGCTTTCCTCCAGATGTCGGTTTCTCCATGGTCCGTTTGTTCACTAGGAGAAAGAGAAAGCAACCTCGCCTGATACCGATCTTCACCTCAAACGAGTCTGTCAGCTGTCTTCTGTGCATGCTTTTGTAGTTTAATCCATCAAAAAAATTCAGTTTATGTTGACTATCTTCTCAGGAACGCCATAGTGTCGAAGAAGCCTCCATAGTATCATCCTTTCCATGCTATCAAACGCTTTCTTTATGTAGAGTGGTGAGTTCCATTCAGTTGACTATTTCATAATGATCCGTAATGCTACTATTTAGTTAGTACACGATTGGTCCTTAAGAAATCCAGCTTGTTGATCTCGAAGTTGAACGTCCACGGAATCTTTCATTCTGTTTAGTAACACCCTGTTAAAGACTTTGCCTGGTACTGAAAGAAGAATGATGCCTCCGTAGTTCTCACACTTGCAGAGATCTCTCTATGATATCCTACTTTTTGGTCTCTTGGTACTTATCCTTCCTCATAAATATCACTGAAGAGGGTATGAATTATCATTGTAGTTAATGCTACGTCTGCTTTTATTGTCTCTGTTGGAATGATTTCTTCAGTGCTGCTGACTACTTTCCCTCCCTTGCTTTTTACTGGTCATTCTGGTTTACGATAGTTTCCAGTAACCTTCTTTGTTGTATCGTACAATTGTCTCAAGTTTACTTCTCTTGCAACCGTTTACGCTCTTCCAAATATTCCCATTTGTCGGCTCTGATGCTCCTCTTTACTTGCTTGTTGTCTTCTGTGTATAGAGATTGTGCCTTGACTTTCTCTGTTCTTGTTCAGCTGATTTTGATTGTTACTTTCTTGTTCCTTCTTCATCCAATCTTATCCAGAGTATCTACAGAGATCCATTCTTTGTGATGGTGCTTCTCGTGGCATGACATGTTGAAATTATTGCCCTCTTGATCCTTTTCCAATTGTTCTTTATGGTAGTTTCTTTTCCATTGAGTAGATCTTGAAAGGTCTAGAACTTATTGCTGAGGGTTTTCCCGAATTCGTTGAGTTTGTCAGTATAACGATGAAAGGCCGTATATAATTTCAGTTTCAGTTTGGCGACCAGTAAGTGGTGATCTGAGGCTATATGAACTCCTCTCTTGATTCACACGTCCTCCATAGTCCTTCTGAGCTTTTACTTGACAAAGATACGTTCGATTTGGTTCTGTGCGGTGTAACCCGGTGAAATCCATGTAGGAACGAAGATTTGCAAATCTCTCACCATTTTCTTTCCTTTCTCCCGGTCAATGTCGTCCCATGATGTCTTCTTATCCGTTGTTATCCATGCCAACCTTGGAATTTAGGTCTCCCATCAGAATCGTTAAATCCTTTGATGGGCATCTCTCGACGACTAACTGCAGTCTCTTGTAGAATTGATCTGATAGGCGTATATCATTAGATAGTGCTCATCGTAATCTCCTCTTTCTTTGTTTTGAAGGATGCTCTGATGATATAATCCTGGGTCCATGAGATTCCCATGTTATCAGTGTCTTTTGTGCTTGTTCGAATGGCATCAGTACAACTCATTGTGTGTGTGAGGCATTTTCGTCTTCATGGCCGGAGTATGACAACAACTCTCCTGAAGCTACTCTTCCTTGTCCTACCTGTGTCCAACGTGTTTCACTGATTCCAAGTAACACAAAGTTATATCATTTCATTTCTGCAGCGACTTGGAATAATCTTCCCGTCCCCTACATTGTACGAATATTCCATGTACTAGTTGTCAGTGAGTTAATTTCCCTACGGGATAGGGTAGCCAACTCCATGCGTAATCCTCCTCCTTTATCCAGTCTTGCGACTGGCACTAGTCTTAGAGGGATTTCAGACTGTGTTTATCTAAATTTTATCAGTCAGATAAATTCATATTTCTGAAAAGTATAGTAAAGGTCAAATCTGTTGATGCTACTTATACATTAAATCGAAAACTTGTTCATTTCATTTCCAAATTACTTTTCTCATCACAAATCAATTTTAGAGAACGCTGCATAGCAGCTATCTCATTTGTCATACAAAACTTATAACTAGCAATGTACCGAACAATCTCATCTCACTTAACAGCTTCACACTTGACATTGTAGATTAGTTTCATCTTTCTATTATTAAAAACGCACATATTCTTAGAATATGCGAAAAAATGCGTTACCCAAATTTTTAAGTGAATTGATTTATAACTTACGAACAAAATAGTTCATCTTTATTGTGGTTTTATTTATATTTCCAATTAAAAGCAAATACTTCATTATGTATAATCAACAGTAATTATTATTAATAAAAGTAATGATGTACTCAAAAACTTTAAAAAAAAACGAGGTTGAAACATTTTTTTTCTCTCTTCCTTCTAAAGACAAATTCCAATCACATCATTTTCAATTAATTGTCTATTCTTTCTTTATTCAATCGAAATAATCTTAAACTCATCAAAAAAAAACAAAGTTTTCTGCTTCAAACAAATTTTCTAAAAACTTTTTCAACATTTTATTCGCGTGAAACAAGACAATCGAAACTCTTCAAGTCTTGTTCATTCGACAGAAAGAAAAAGTAACAACAACAACAAGAATAAATAAGGTAGGTGGTATACACACACATACATACACAAACACACACACTGACGGACTGATGTAACCCCCCAACCCAATAAAATAGGAGAAAATTCATTCGTTCATCCTCTTCCTTATCATCATCATGATCATCAAGCTCATCATCATTCTCATCAGGATAGAGTTGTGTTTTTTTTCTTCTTTTTCTTGACAAAACCAATAGACCAATCAGTGTTGAGTATCGATCGATCCAATGAACAAATTCAATTATTCGCCCTAACATTCTTAAGGTCAGTAGTAGCAATAGTAGTTAGTAGGAGTAGTAGAAGTAATAGGAGTAGTGTCCAGTTAAGCAATGACAATCTGCATATTTAGAAATAATGCCGATCAACTGTAGATTGTATTTGTTTTGGTGAATTACTATTATTATTCTTGAAATTGAGAATAAACTTTAAATAAATTCAGTAAGTTTTACAATCATTATTTTTTTTCATGTATTTTTTTATTTCAATAAGTGTATTTGTGCTTTTATGATATAATTATGTTGAATTTAGATTTGAAAAAAAATTTTTTTCTGTTCAACCAAATCTCCTTGACTTGTTTGAAAATAATATTTTTCGTACGAGTAATATTTAAAAGTTTGCAACTTGCGTAAGTTTAACGACGCTTCATTAAATCACAAAACAATGATAATTTTTTTGAAAAAAAGAGATAACCACATGCTCTAAGATCTAGTTTTTGAAGGTTTTGTTTGTGAAAATCCCTCCATGTATACATTTGTAATTTGTCCGTATTGATTCCTTCAGTTGTACATTTTGTTAGTCTGTTCGATTCCATTTTGAGATGATAATATTTGTATTTTATGATAGTTTCTATTTCTTTTGCCTTCACTGAGTTTCTATGTTTCTTTCTGAACTGCATTTATGTTGTTTAAGCTGATACCTAATCATGGTGACAGCCATATTGATTTGTTACTCTTTTGATTGTGTTGGTTGCATGGACTGAAATTGTGCATTTTGATTGTGAATTGAAGCACTCTTCCAGAATCAGAAACACTCTGTGTTATAAAGCAACCAAATATTATCTTTTGAAGGAATCTGATCTGTCCAGTAGGGATAGAATAACATTTACGTGTTGGTACTATTTCGATTAATTGAACAATCATTGTGGAATAACTGAGTGGTAGTATTTATATGTATGATGAATATTAGAACCGTTATTTACCCAAATCACTTGTTTTGCTTTCAACTGGGCAAGGCGCATATCTAACCTACCTAGACAGAGTTATTCCTCAATCCAAACCTCAGTTTGAATCCTACACATGCTTTTGATAAGAATAAGGAATAATTAATCAGCTGTAAACATTTTTATTTACGAATACTTAAAAAGAGTAAGTAAAGTACTAAATCCTCACAGTGATGTCTTTGAAAAGGAAAAAAACTGCCTAACGCCACTCCGAAAAATTTCACCGTAATCATCCTTGGTTGTGAATGCTATTATTAAACTTCACTGAGGAAATTCACAGATAATTTAGTTTAGTTTTGGTAATTGAAAGTAAAAACGAAATCCCTATATTGATCAAAGTTGGACAATAGCGCCGTTCGATGCCAGACCAGTGGTCCGGAGGTTAGGCGTCCGCACGCCAAAGCGAAGTTCTTGGTTTCGAGACCTGTGAGGTACAGAAGTCGTGCATGTGCACTGCTGACGTGCAGACGAAACGTCCATACAGTGCTTCCAAGCTTTTTAATATTGGAAGTCTAACAATGATTGATTGATGATTTCAATGATTTCAAAACACTGATCTGCATAACTCCAGTTGATAAAAACAAAACAACTCTCTTTGATTGATTTTTCCCGCAGTCACGTTTATTCTGTGTATAATATCTATTTTGCTTTTGGGTAAGTTTAACCTACACAATTAGATCTTTAGGTTGCTTGCATTGAAAAATCGATATGCGCCAACATATTTAATCAAATTTTCATTTCGGTACACAGGAACTAAAGTCTAACATGACTAATGTGTTGTCGATATGTTTGATTGTTTGTGGCATGATGAAAATATTTCAATTAATTAGAATAATAATTGTTGATCAGTACGATTGAAATCTTTAAAAATTTTATTAAAATTCCTCAATGTATTCAGTGGTATCATGTATTTTGTCAATCACCCTTATAATAATAATAATAATAATAATAATAATAATAATAATAATAATCTCTTATCATCGTCATGATGTGTGTGTAGCCAAGTCAAATGATGACGAGCTGATGTCGTTCACCACGAATGTATAATACTTCATTGAGAAGTAGTACAATTTTTACTGAAGCTAAGTATAACGTGATGATATTTGAAGTGTTTAGTACCAGACTTGATTCCTGCAGTGCACGTCAACGCTAGTTTAGACAAATAAACTTAGAAAGAGAAAGATAAAGGTGATGAGGAATTGAGCAGGTTAGGATTTGAGAGAACACAAGGAATGAATGCATTTGCGCCCTTGCAAACGGTTTTGAGCAGTGTCATTCAGGGTCTCTAACCATTGATTACTTTCATCTCATGGGCCCGAGCCAAGTAGTCGACATCTACCGACATGACTCGGTCCAATTGTCAGTGACTTTATGGATTAGGGCAATGTTTTGGTTTGGCCGTCCCTAGCTTTCTGCTAATTTACTCCTACACCACGAAACATAGCTCGTCGCGGGAGTCGGGTGGTTAGGCATATGTAACACTTGTCCCAACCACCTCAACTGATGAAGTTTTAATACTTCATCCATTGACCTGCCATCCTTAACTAGCACCTGTTTCCTAACTATAGCATTGCTTACTCGGCTGTTCCACGATACTCGAGCAATGCTTCAGAGACACGTATGATTGAAGACAAGCAACCTACGAATATTTCCTACTTTTACCGGCTATGTTTCACAGCCGTAAAGTACGAAGGAGAGGATTGCTAAGCAGTAGACTTGTCCTTTAGTCAGCAAACGGATACCTCGCCTGCGCCATAAATGACGCAAGTTGGCAAAAGCCAATCGAGTAATCTGTATCCGTGCTGAGATGTCGTCACATACCAGGCTATCAGCAATGATGAGACTATCTAGATAAGTGAAGCTGTCCACATGCTGTACTGGTTCACTCCCAATCACTAGTTCAAGTGCCGATACAAGCCAATCATGAAGCAACATTTTGCATTTTGACTGGGAGAGTCGCATCCCGAATATGCTTGCATTGTTGCTGAGGGTAGTCAGGAGACAGTGCATTTTGTCAGCGTCTTCACCGAATAGAACTACGTCATTAGCATATTCTAAGTCAACCAGTAAATCTCCTGGTAGAAGGTCCACTTTTCATAGATTTAACCTTGAATCTTATCACAAAACGAAAAGCTAATTTCAACACATAAACAAACAAACAACTCTAATGAAAAGTGAAATTTCTACAATTCATAACTTTCATTTTAATTTCGATGCTTACAATAACGAGATTTTTTGAAAATAACAAAAATAAAACAAAACAATGTATAGCGAACTGTGCAACGAAGGCATTCACAGTTGAATAAACCACACAAAATCAATAAATCACTGAATATATAAATTTGAATTTCTGTGATACTATTCCTAATCAATGCTTTGCAAAATCAATTGACAAAACAGTTTCAAACTTCACTGAACTTTATTTACTGAAAATAATAAACTAGCGAGTGATAAAAACAGAACAATTTTTCACGAGTACACAATACAAAATTGAATTTTCAATCCATTGACATTCATAAATAAGCATAAGATGAAACAAAACATTTCCAATGATTAGGCGCTAAATATAATTTCAATCATTCATCCCGAAGTTTCTCTCAAGTGTCATTTTTATTGTCAACACCTTCATAACTTCATTGTCAACACTAAAAAATTCTTTCAGTTAACTGACTTTTGTGTGTGTTGACATTTAGGTAAGTCAGAACAAAACAACAATTATACATTACACAGATGTTATTTTTTTGTTTACAATGATTATCTCGAAACAGCCGCCAATATTGGTGGTGGCGGGGATTTAAAAGGCGATTTATTTCCCGCCCAAACTTCATTCAAACTTCTTAGTATGTTAACTTGTAGTTGAATCTGCGATGATTGATTGATTGATTGATAGGAATAATTTGTTCAAAATTATTTAGATATATAGATAGATAGATAAATGTATATTCAATAGTTAGTAAGCAATAACCATCTCACTGAATTTGTTATTCCTATAGATAACACAATAAGGTGTGGGAAATTTGAAATAAACATGTGAAATGGACCATGCATGTAAAACCACGCCCTAAATTTATCATTGTCTTAGCCTGCGTATATATATTTATTTACTTTTTGGCCACAATTGTTGTAGCGAAACATGAAGAACCCAATGATTTCTCGGCATAAACAATAATAATTGATAAGAGTTAGGTGTATTTTGGTTATTTGAAGGTAATAATTAAATGAATAGAAATTAAAAATGTAAAAACAATTTAGATAAAGTAAGAATGATGTGTTGTAGTGTAAGAATAGGTTGGAAGAAAGTTAGGGGCGGCCGAAACAAAACATGGCAGAAATCCATTGAAGCCACTGACAAGTGGACTGAGTCATGTAGGCTACCTGGTTGGGGTCCGTGAGACGAAAGTCACCAATGGTTGGAAACGTTGAATGACATGGCTCAAAATCGTTTGCAGTGTCGCAGGTACATTCATTCTTTGCGTTCCCTCAAATCTTAATCTTCTGGATTTGTCAACACCTATATTCTTATCTTTCTAAACCTGTCTCACTGAATTATACTTCTTGAATAATATCTTCGGACCTTAATCTTCTCTATTACCAATAGTACTTCTACTATCTTTACCACTATGGGATTTGAATTGACAATCGCGTCTCTGTGCTAATGTTGTATGGCAACATGAACTGATGTACTTACGTACGAAGTTCTGCATTGCATCTGACTGACTGACTGATGTGTATAAATTGAATATAAATTGGAAATAATTAGAATGCCATAAGTCAGAATCTATAAAATATGACATTCCTGGCTGTTTGAAATACCCGCCTGTTATCCACAATGGAGCAGAGGCCGCTCTCCAACCTACTCTGTCTTTGAGTTGCCATTTCAGTTCTACCCCAATTGCAGGTCTTTTTTTCCTTGACTGTCTCCAAATCTCGGCATTGTGTACTTTTTTGATCTTTCTCTTACCTTTGACCTTGAGAGATCGAAGTGACGACGTGACATGTGATGCAGTTGTGAGAATTTCGCAATATGTGTCCTATCCACTTCCAGTGATTATTCCTGATTTCTTTTTCTGCTGGAATCTGGATTGTTCTCTCCCATATTAGGTTAGTGCTGATAGTATCTGGCCAGCGGATTCGAAGCATTTTGAGTAGACAACTGTCAATCAACACTTGTATCTTGTGGTTGATGGCTCTAATTGTTCTAGAGGTCTTGACATTTGTATTGAAAACCCGAACTTTGGTTTCAGTTGATAGTTGTTTTGAGTTAAATTGTAGAGATTCTACTCTTGTTTTGCCAGTCTGCGTTTCCACGTTCACATTACATCCACGTTGCTCATCAATGACGCTGCCTATATACCTAAAGGTTTTTACATCCTTCAAAGCTTCTCCATCAAGTTTGATTCAGTTTGAGCATGTTGTGTTGTATCGGAGAATCTTGCTCTTCACCTTGTGTATATTGAAACCAAATGCTGCTGCATAGGTTGCTGCTATATATCTTCACAAACATAGAAAAGATAATTTTCTAAACACTTCTTACTTTTATTAAGATTTTACTTTATTTCTTTATTCGTAAAGCAAGCAGCAAAATTAACAACGTTGCTTGTTATAGTAAGTTCAATTTTGATCTTTAAACTATAAAAATTCAAAGAATTATTTAAATATATTTTCAAAATAGGAAGATAAGTTAGTGTTTAAACATTCCATTGTTTTAAAGAAAGTTGCATAATCAAAAACTATTTTTATCACTTTGTCATGTATGACTACTGACTGTCTATATCAATCAGTCATTTCAAACCTAGTTTGGTTGAAGCAGGTTCAAATACCTCATCTATCTCCTCAAAACTGCAGATAAACTTTGCTTTAAATGAAATTTTCATCGTTTTGAATATTCAATAGTTTAATCTAAGCACATACATCAAGTTGTGATGTTCAGTATAAAGGCTTGATACATAAAAGGATTATCTAAGTTTCATTGAGTATATGTCTTAACTGCTCATTTCAAACAGTTAGATATTTTAAAGAGTTTTCATATGGTTAGTATCTCTACATGGTAAGTAACTTTATTATTGTACCAGCCCAAGTATAAGGTTGTGGATTCTTATCACGGATTAAGATCAGTTGTACTTACTTACTTACGCCTGTTACCCACAATGGAGCATAGGCTGCTCACCAGTTTTCTCCAGCCTACTCTGTTCTGGGCTTCTCTTTCCAGTTGTGTCCAATTTTTGTTCATTCTCTTGTCTTTTGCTATGTTTCGGTGTAGTGTGTTGGTCTTCCTCCTTTCCCTTGACCTTGAGGGTTCCATGTGAGGGCTTGTCTTGTGACGCAGTTAGGTGCTTTTCGTAGTGTGTGTCCTATCCACTTCCACCGCTTCTTCCTGATTTTCTCCTCCACTGGGATCTGTTTTGTTTTCTTTCACAGTAGGTTGTTGTTGATGGTGTCTGAAACAACGAATGCTCAGTATTTTGCGTAGGCAACTGTTAATGAACACTTGTATCTTCTGGATGATGGCTTTGGTAGTTCTCCATGTTTCCTCTCCATACAGTAGAACTGTCTTGACACTTGTATTGAAAATCCTGATTTTGGTTTTGGTTGGGATGGGAGCGTCAAACCGATGCCCAGCCCTCCTTCTTTATCCGGGCTTCGGACTGGCAGTAGCGCCGAAGGGTCTACAGGCGGAGTTAAGATCAGTTGTAGCACAGCTCAAATTCAGATATTGTTATACAGCCAGGAAGAGAACTTTCGGTTTAATAGTATTGAACACTTAAGCAATTTTTGAACTCTGTAAGTCTCACATTATTCTACTAGCGACTGATCTTGTGAGATCTGTCTGACTTCTGACTCTTAAGAACTCACAATCTTTTAAGTGAACTCGTAGAATTCGTTTCTTATCTTAACCGACGGTGAACAGTTTGTGCAGGTCATACAAATCACATCTTTTTTCAGTGAATAAGAGTCAAAAATATAGACAAAGAATAATTGATATTTTAATACTATCAGTAGCATGTTTTCCTCTGACTCACCTGATATGTACATCTAACTATTGTAGATACAGCTAACCTCTCCATCAATTTTCATATATATAGTACATCAGATCTCTGTGAAACTACATTAGGTAGGATTGGAAGTAAACGAAGTGTTACGCCTGCACGTAAACACGTCAACTTGATATACTTGAACTATTACGGGTTTACCTAGTCGGAAAACGAGAGCGAGGATCGAGGATCCGGCGACACGACATGCTACTCAAATCCGATTATCCCAACCCCCATATTGAGTAAAAGAAGACAAGACTTGATATGAAGTAGAACCTGTATTCTACAAGCATCCAGAAAGTGCGAGGTCCGAATTCATAAGAGAATCAGGATCCCGGACTAGGTATCCGGGACCGAGCCCCTGTCCTGGTCGTGGTCATAAAGTGTTACACAAAATGCGTATTTATACATTTTGGTCTAATAGGAAACAGCATCGAATTCTGTGACATTGGCAGCTAAGACGACCAATAGGAAGCAACATTTGAAGTGACATTGACAGTCCGGATGACCAATAAGAGACAACATTGAAGTATTTGACTTTGACAGTTAAAACGACCATAATTTTGACCTATAGAAATCGACCAATAGGATTTGACCAGTAATTCTCTTAGGATATTGGATCAATATCCTAACACGAAGGATCAGACAGACTGTCATTGGGAATGTAGAATTATTCTTAAAACAATCTACAAGGACTTCTTGTTGTACTTAAACGTTATCTGGGTTATGATACATTTCCTTCTGAACCCTCGGATGTATATACCGTAAAATGGATGTATCAACTTTGCCTCAAGTAAAGTCTACTTGAGCCTACTGAACAAGGATATTGAACAAGTAAATGTTTTGTTTGAATTCTTGACAGACAATATGCTTCACTAACTTAATTTAACATCAGTTATTTAAAACGCTCATTGAAACATTCTAAACTCATTTTGCAATACAGTTTTACTTATTAGCATAAAATATTTCGGTGACTTTCTCACATTTTTCTTCTAATCAACAGTTAGTATTGTATTTGTTTTTATTTAAATTAATCATAATTGCTGCAATCGATATATCTCTAATTAGTGAAGAAATTTAAAATTTTCATTATCGAGTTGAAAGAGATTGTTGTTAAGTTTCAATTGAAAAGCCCTATATAATGACAATTTTCCTGTGTACACTAGTGACTAGCTTCTTGAAGAAATTTTCATTGTTCCAACGAGAAGCTGTGACCAGTCGAGTTTAGTCATGTTGGGTACTGAGACAGTTACCCACTGACCACTGAACACATACACTAACTCCGCTGATTGGCTGCTCAGCAATCTAGTAGAAGATAAGTGTTTGCGCGCTACACAGAAGATCCTAAGTTCGATTCCCACATGCGGACATCGTGGATACGCACTGCCTATATGTCTCATCCTTTTAGGTTTCAACCGGTGATCGTATACACTGTTTTATTTCAAATTATTTAGCCGTTTTTTTTTCATTTCAAAAATTGTACATTGAAGAGTCAATAAACATTACTTTTGTTTGAATTCTTGAATGACTTGAATAAAACAATGAATTTTCTTCTTTTTATCTTTCTTCCATCATTGTTTTGTCAATCAATGGCTTTCATCAACATGCAACAGTCAAAACAATAACGATCACTACAACTAGTACTACTGCTAATACTACTACTACTTCTACAAACAATGATTTATATTCCTGGATTAATTGCAATCATTGTATTTTATTTATTGATATTATTTGTTGGATTATGGGCTGCACGAAAAGGAAAAACAAGTGATTCATCTGGAACTGACACAGAAGAAGTGATGCTGGCTGGTAGAAATATTGGACTGTTAGTCGGCATATTTACAATGACAGGTGAGTATGTGATCGATTAACGTGTATTGATCGCCTTTTCTGTTCTTTCTAATGAACGATATGATGTACATATATGGAAAACATTATTCCAATTGAACTCACCTTAGAAGGCGGCGGCGATAGGTAACAGCAGATGGTTGTTTCGACTTGTCAAGGAAGCCGGTATTAGTAATTCATCTGTTAGCGAAACTATCTTAGGAAAGGATGGGCTTATTTTATGCATTGTCAACCCAGTAGATTGGATCGATATCCGTTTGCTAACCAAAGGACGAGTCCACTGCCCAACATTCCACTTCGTCCTACTTTTTTATGGATGTGAAACATGGCCGGTAAGAGTAGAGTATATTCGTAGGTTACTAGTATTCGACTATGGATGTCCTTGAAGCATTGCTCGTGTATCCTTGGAAAACTGAATAAACAATGCTATAGTTAGGAAACTGATGCTCGGTAAGGATGGCAGATCAGTTGATGAAGTAGTGAAACTTCATCAGTTGAGGTGACTGCAGCATATATTACGAATGCCTAACCACCGACTGCCTCGACGAGCTATGTTTTGTGGCGTAGGAATAGGTTGGAAGAAAGCTAGGAGCGGCCAGACCGAAACATGGCAGAAATCCATGAAGTCACTGACAACTCGACTGAGTCATGTTGGTAGATGAAGACTAACTGGTTGGAGTCCACGAGACGAAAGTCACCAATGGTTAGAGACCTTGAATGACATGGCTCAAAACCGTTTACAATGGCGCATGTGCATTCGTTCTTTTTGTTCCCTCAAATCCCAATCTTCTGAATTCCCCAACATCTCTATCTTTCTCCTTCAAAATTTGTCTCACTGAATTATACTTCTCGAATCATATCTTTAAACCCTAATCTTCTCCATCATTGTTCATACTTTTACTATCTCTGCCACTGTTAGATTTGAACTGACAGTTGCCTGTCTTTGCTGATGGGGAATGGCAACCTGAACTTATGTACTCATGTACGAAGTTCTACGTTGTAACTGACTGACTGACTGACACATAAGAAGGAGAGTTTATTTTCTATCGACAAGTCGCGTTTCATGGAAAGTATGATACATACATTTTGACTGGTTTTTTGACGATCTAATCTAGTCAATTACTAGATTAGCGTAACTATCATCTCGTACCTCATTGGTGCTTGTATACTTCTTTGACAAGATGATCAGGCTTCATTGGTTATGCAAACTTAAAAAAACTTCAATCAGATTTGGGAAATAATAAAACCCTCAAACAGTAAATGATACTATGACGGATTCGATTACAAATGTGACTCTCATCAACTATTTTTAATTTAATAATGTCTGAATCATGAAAGTGCAATGATACTCCTTGACTGAACACAACTTTCACTGACTGCTGTCATCATACTTACCCCCTAATGACATATTTAAAGATCAGTCATTGAACATCGAGAGCAGTAGGTTTTCTAATTAGTTTAATAACCTAATTATATGTTTCAGACGGTACTTAAATAAGGTACATGTAGTGAACGAGAACACAGGTTGGGCAACCGAATTGTATATTTAACGAAAATTACAGAGTTACTCAGTAAAATTCGAAAACCATATCGTAAACCGTTGTTAATTTGCAAAATATCAGTCCGTCATATCGAACTGGACTGTTCCTGTTGCAAAACATCAATCCATTGTCACTATTCATGCGTTTCATACAAATTCCATTGTTTTCTAACTGTTCCTTTCTTGATCTCCCCCATCTTCTGCTGCCAGACATTACGTTGGCACTCACGTCATATACTACTACTTATAAGTAGCTCGCACCACAGTCATACTGTCAGTTACCACATAGTGAATGTTTTTTGTCAAACAATATTCCATTCACAAAAGCTTGATATCATTTACCAACGTAGTGTTAGGTAAGTTAGGAATGAATTTTGTGTTCGACAGTTGAAACTGCAAAGTCGATTAGATGCTAACTGTGAATAATGTATCAGATTAGTCACTCAATATTGAACATTTCTGACCTTGAAGTATCGTTATCAGCTTGAGACCATCAGTAACACGATCATGTTTTCCATTGATTATCGATTTTCCCAACCTATAATTTTCCTACATTCCCCTTGTAGTAATCACTTAGGTCACAGTCTTTCTGTCACTCACTTCGCTCCCGTTTTCCCTAGTAAACTGAAATATCTAATGTGACGCATGACAATCACTTATGTACTTCACTTTTTCACTAAAACTCATGTGTAAGTGTAGAAGGCTCATACTGTAGGGTAAAATGAATTTTCCACTCAGCATTTACAAATATTTTCATCTTGAAAATATTTATCAAGAAGAATAATAGTTGTATAAAACTATTAAACAGCTAAAAATGACAATCTCTTACACTATTAATCTTGTAAACACGAGTTCCAATTCATCAATAAACACGAGCTTTCTCAAGACTGTAAAATGTAGCTCTGCTGACGACTATCATTAAATAAGCAAAACCTTGGCTATAAAAATTTCTTGTCAGTTGCCTCCTTATATAAATTAAATGCTTGCAGAAAATGGTGCTACTAAAGAAAACTTCATCAATCGAAAAAACTTTCACAGTGTACATAGAAATAATACATTATTGAATATCGAGCATTTGTGATCGATTTTCTTGTCCCCCCATAGTTTTCTCTCCAAAAACACTTATTCTGCGTAAATTAAATTCAAAGAACAGCCAATATTTGATAGCTGACGACTGCTTGATGACATGAATGTAAAGTTTGATCTAATAGTTATGTACATCGCACATTTCAACCGTCAATCAATCATTGTTAGACCAGCCATTAGAAATCTGGAAGCACTGAAAGACGACCGTTTCGTCCTGGTATGGGACTCTGTTATGCTCGTCTCTAGGTAAGCTTAAAGCTATTTCGAGTTCACCTTAGTCGAATAACGAAAACAAAACAATAAACAAGCGTCCAGGTAGGCTACTGTGATCCCTTGATCAAAATGAATCAGCAAGAAGTCTTGATATAGTGTAGAAACTGTATTCTACAAACACCCAGCCAGCACACAATGAATCCAACTACTCAAATCGCATTTATTTATACTCTATAGAGACGTCCTTGGGAGAGTCACAAAAATAGCACACTAAAATAACACAGTAACCAATCACAGCCAAGGATTTTCCTGGTGAGAAATGTGATCTCAAGGTCAACTGATCGGTCCATGAAATAAATCCAAAATAAAGATATTTATCAAGCGATCTAACATTTCCAACAGACTCATCAACAGTGCGCACCTCGCACGATTCGAACCCCAGCACCAACGTTTTTTACGCGAGAACGCCTAGCCTCCGGACCATAAATGTCATTCAAAAAATCGTTATGTCAAATGCAAAAAAAGATGTACATAGTAGATTGATCGAATTTATTAGCTAGATATATATATATATTTTTTCACCCAACTCTAGTTCAATGAAACAATCAGCCTGAACTATCTCCTATCTATCTATAAATAAAGTCAGTCGACAGAAATACTTGAGCAGAGCATGTGATCGAATAAAATATTTGTACTTTATGTATATCTATTTGTATGTGTAGGTGTACACACACACACACACAGCCACTTTGATATACTATACAAATGAACAGTATTTCTTTTTATATAAATGCTTAAAAGAAATTTTGAAAGAGAGAGAGTCAACAAGGCAATAATCATCTCCTTTTTTTTGCTTTCTTGCCTTCGAAGAATATGATTGGATTGCTAAATTAATTTTTTTTTCTCGTTTCGTTTCATTTCAATTAGGATAAGTTAGTTTTCTTTTCTCCCTCCTACAAAAAAGCAAAACATCAATATGTTGCTATTCGAGTCTAATATATATATATATATATATATATATATATAACCAACTTTATTATCGATCGCCTACTTTGTAATTTTTTTTTGCTCTCAAAGTAAATTAAGATGAGGAAAAATATTCGATCAATTCGATAGATAGGAAAAAAGGATTGTGAGAGAGAAAGGAGAGTTGGCTTTTTATTTTTTGCATCAAATTGAAATTAGAGCTAAGGATTAAGTATATGATCAAGTATATAATGTTTCTGTAAATAATTCTTTCACTGTATGTAGTATGAATGGGTGTCGGCGTCGTGAATGTTCATCTATGTGAGTTTTGGATGATACGTGTTTACTGGAGATTCGATTATTCAATCAAGATGGTTCATAGCTTCAGGCTCAAGAAAATGATCAATTATTGAAACTTATCAACCATTCATTTTCACTGTTTTGAAACCGTGAATCGATCAATGTTAGATCGTCATTAGAAATCGGGAAGCACTGGACGGCCGTTTCGTCCTGGTATGGAACTACTCATCAGTGGCAGTGCGCATCCACGACTCTTGCACCCCGCAGGATTCGAAACCAGGGCCTTCAGTATTATGCGCGAACGCTTAGCCACTGGACCACTGAGCCGGTGTCGAACGGTGTTAATGTCTAACTTGATCCATTCAAGGAGTTGCACAACCTCATACACAGTCATCGGTAGTTACTGTCTACACCCGAACAGATTGAACTTTACTGGTCACGACTTCCCACTAGAAATCGGAGTAGATTCCTCACGAAGCTAGTCATTAGTGAGCACAGGTAATTGCGTTAAGGGGTTGTGAAGATTGTTATGTTACACATTTTGAAACCATGAATCGATCAATGTTAGACCACCATTAGAAACCTGGATACACTGAATGGCCACTTCAATACGTTTAACTTAACAATCTTCACAACCCCGTAATGCATTCTTACTGTAGCGTATGATTTAGTTCAACGTCACCATGAAAATTACTCGAATCTCTATTGACTTAGATAAGTTAGCTGAGATTTTAGTACACTAGACTTAGCATTTGAAGCACAATTTTCCATTGGTCAAGCTGTCCACTCACTACTTGTTCTTTTCAATTCGAGTTATGGAGATTAGTGGTTTTACACATTTGAAATCATCAGTCAATCCTTGTTAGACCACCACTATTAGAAACCCGGAAGCACTGATAGACGGCCGTTTCGTCCTGTTATGGGACTCATCAGCAGTGCGCATCCACAACTCCAGCACCTCACAGGATTCGAACCTGGGACCTTCGGTATTGTGCGCGAACGCCTAACCTTTGTACCAGCGGGCCGATTGTTTTTGTTCTAATTATTTCTCATGCTAATAAGTTTGCTTTAAGTGACTAGTTATTTTTTGCAAACTATTATAACTTTCTTAAAATCAGTTCTTGATAATATACACACATATATGATTTATGGAATTATTTCAGCTACATGGGTTGGTGGCGGCTACATAAATGGTACAGCTGAGAATACTTACAATCCATCTCAAGGTCTCCTATGGTGTCAAGCTCCAGTTGGATATGCTTTGAGTTTAGTTGTCGGTAAGTGATTTTGTATCAATCAGTTTAAAAATGAATATGTTTTGTAATGGGCAGTTCAGAAAACACTTGTGTACTACTGAATTCTCCCTATGTGTTCGAAATGTTTGATTGGATGAATGAACCGAATGCATCCAACCATCCTCCTTACATTGAGAAATGAATGTTTGATGTGAGAATACATACCGGAGGCTTGGAGTATAAATTTTGTTGTGATTATTGTTTACGGAGTGATAGAATATTCAAAGTACAATGACTACTGAATTCATCTTGTATTAGCAAGGTTTCCTCAGAGGTGCAGTAAGGTAGAAAATCATGGTCTCAAAGACGCTGCAGTGTGTGTACTTTTATGTTGTGCATACAGGGCTTTGGACAAGTTAATTGATCGATTCTTCTCGAGTTACTCACACGTCTTATGACCTTGTCAATGATTCGCTCATAACCTTGAGTGTTTTTATTTTAGTGTGTGTGTGTGTCTGGTACACTACCATGTCTAGCCTGTTTGTTTGTGTCTAACTACACTTAGTCATGTCTCATCGCATTAAGTTGGCCAACTCAATTTCTCCATGTTGCTTCGCTTTGCTTTTAAGCACTTGATTCTCATGTGTGTTTGTCTGCATGAAATAAATTTATCCGCAAAACTGTATTTTGCTCCTTATTACCGCCATCGCACAGACAAGATTCAACTAAGAATGTTTACATGGAAATAATGTAAGGAAAGATTTATTTCACTAACATATTCTATTTATTGTTCATCCGAATTGGAATAAGATGGCAGGCCACTGTGATAATTCTTGCTAATTTACGCATATACAAACTTTCGATTGATCAGATTTGGTATTTATAAAAATTCACACAATTAGTATGTAGTAAGTAATTTACAGAAAGCCATGTTCGAATTCATTCGTTTTGTCCGGTTCCTTACAATCTTGGCGAATTTCCCTAACATAGTGATGATAATGAAGGGGATGATTATGATAAGCAGCCTATTTAAAACTTTTGAAATATTAATAACTTGTTAGGGACTTTAGATCCCCAAAACTCACTTGGAAAAACTCCTAAATTTCTTTGATTTATTTCGGAAATTTTGAATTTTTATGTTTTCGCGCCAAAGACGCTTAGCTGACCTTCAGTACGCTATTTAGTGGCTATTCTAAGGACGTTTCAATCATTGTATAAATAAGCTTGAGTGGTATGTTTGTGGACCTCGTACTTTCTGGTTGCCTGTGGAATACATTCTCTTTACGTCTTATCAAGACTTTTTGCTTTAGTTAGCGGGGCCTGGGACAATCAGATTAGAACAGCCTATCGTATCACTGATTCATTGCTCTTTGTTCCGTTTACCGAGTAAGGTAAACTAGTAACAGCATTCGAGCATATCAGTTGACGAGCATATCCATAACTAGGAAAATATATTTGATGAGTAAGTTTATGTGATACAAATGAGACTTACGTCATTCTGAATACGTGAGATCGATTTCTAAATATGGTAGATGACTATTTATTTATATTTTCTAATTTACTGTTTTTACTTTCAAAATCGTTAGCCAAATTTTAAAAAAAGAACTTTCATTTTTTGTAAATTAGGTGGATTATTCTTTGCTAATCGAATGCGTACTTTGGGTTATGTTACAATGCTTGATCCATTTCAAAATAAATATGGTGAACGTATGTGTGGTCTGTTATTTATTCCAGCATTACTTGGTGAAGTATTCTGGACAGCAGCTATACTATCTGCACTCGGTAAGTAATTTTAGAGCTGATGGTGATTGCTAATCAGCATCTTCGTTTATACTAAAAAGCTATTTGATTCCTAGTCTTTTCAAACTTACTTACTTACTTAAGCCTGTTATCCCTAATGGAGCATAGGCCGCAGACCAGCAATCTCCAACCTACTCTGTCCTAGGCCTTCCTTTCAACTTTTATGCAACTGCTATTCATTCTCTTCATGTCTGTCTCCGATTATGGACGTAATAAGTTCCTTAGCCTTTCTCTTTTACCTCGACTTTGAGGTTTACCTGGTCGGAAAACGAGAGCGAGGATCGAGGATCCGGCGACACGACATGCTACACAAATCCGATTATCACAACCCCCATATTGAGTAAAAGAAGACAAGACTTGATATGAAGTAGAACGTGTATTCTACAAGCATCCAGAAAGTCCAGGAGAGAATCAGGATCCCGGACTAGGGATCCGGGTCCTGGTCATAAAGTGTTACAGATAATGCGTATTTATACATTTCAGTTGAATAAGAAACAACATCAAAGTCTGTGACATTGACAGTTAAGACGACCAATAGGAAGCAACATCTGAAGTGACATTGATAGCCGGGACAACCAATACGAAACAACATTCAAGCACGTGACATTGATATCTAGGATAACCAGAAAATTGACCAGTAGGAATTAACCGATAGGAATTGACCAGTAATTCTCTTAGGATATTGGATGAATATCGTAACACCTTCTAAAGCTTGTCCATCAAGGGTGATTTAGCTGGTGCATGTTGTGTTGTATCGGAGGATCTTGCGTTTTCTTTTGTGCATGCTGAGACTAACTGCTATCGAAGCTGCTTCGGCTGGGGCCCTTCCAGGGCTACTGCTGGTCTCAAGTCCAGATAATGGAGGGAGGGTTGGGAGTGCGTTTAGCAACTCTATCCCGTAGAAAACTAACTCGCTAAAACAATATCACAAAATATTATGATATAATTGTTCTCTCCATAAATATTCATTGAATGTGATTTGATTTTTTTTGTTTTTTCTAAACTAATAGGCGCTACATTAGGCGTGATAGTGGATTTAGATCAGAACACATCCATCATTTTGTCAGCATGTATTGCATTGGTCTATACATTATTCGGTGGATTATATTCAGTTGCATATACAGATGTTGTACAATTATTCTGTATATTTTTTGGTTTGGTAAGTTTCATTTATTTAAGCATATAGTTTTAGTTGTTGAGATGTGTGTGACTTTGCATGACGAATGAAATATTTTGAATTATATTGATTCAAAGTAATTTATACGTTTTTACATAAACCTCTTGAAGATTAATTGTTTTAACGCGGGCAGATTTTGTTACTGACTATTAAATACATTTTAGTCATATTGTGGTGTGAGCTACTTATAAGTAGTATATGACGTGAGCGTCAACGTAATGTCTGGCAGCAGAAGATGGGGGAAGATCAAGAAAGAAAGAGTGGGAACACAATGGAATTTGTATGAAACGCATGAATAGTGACAATGGATTGATGTTTTGCAACAGGAACAGTCCAGTTCGACATGATGGACTGATATTTTGCAAATTAACGATTTACGATACGGTTTTCCTATTTTACTGAATAACTCTGTAATTTTCGTTAAATATAATTCGGTTGCCCCACCTGTGTTCTCGTTCACTACAATATGAATGTGTTCGGAAATACTCGACTAATTGCAACGAAGTTCTTGATTATCAAAAATTACTCCTTTTTCGATTATGGATTTTAGAATGGCGAAAATGTTAGTGAAATAACTCTGATAACAGCTAAACCTAGATCAAAGAACACAGAGCCATGAATTCTCGGTAGAACCGACTTGGCATTGCATCAGTGCAACTCCTCGTGAGTGTGTGTGTGTGAGGGATTTTTTCTTCATCGCCAGAGCATAACAGAAGCTCTCCTTTGTCGTTAAGTCCAAAGTCTTTCACTGATTGCAAGTACCACCTGGTTGTATCATTTCATTTCTGCAGCAATTTGGATGACTCTTCCGGTCTCACGCATTGTGCGAACATTCCATGTACTTAAAAGAATGGTTACTCTGGTTATCAGGAGGGGCATCGACCTCGGGAATTCCGAAATACATCGGCTTTCATCATGAGACGTCCTACTCTCTAAAATAAAGACCTTTTAACTCCCAGGACAGAGTTTAAATGATTTGAATCAATTTTTCTGGTTAGCTTTTTTGGCGAATTAGTTTCCTACTGGATAAGGTCGCCAACGCTGCTCTATTATCCGGGCTTGACACCGACAGTACTCTCAGAAGGGCTCTAGGCGTGGTTTGAACCAATTCAGCACAAGTCTAAATTAGCGAGTAAACTTCATCACAACTAAGTTAGTTTATAATCAAATTCAATGCAACAATTGATGTTCACATGATACTTTTCTAAACACAATTAAGTCAATCTTGAAAATCTTTTAAATCATCTCATGGGAAATGGAATTTTTCAAGTTGATCATTTATTTTATACAATGAACTCATCAAATGCTCACAAACAAATAAACATTTTTCTCAATATTTGAATATCAAAAAATACAGCATTCACTTACACTTACTTAAATTAAATTTCTATCATATAAAAGCATTTGATTTCAAAGATGTTAGGCTGTTCAAAAAAGACCGGATTTAACTTTCTGTCTGTTCATTCAACTTAACTACACTTTAAAAAGAGATTATTTAAACTTTGAGTACTTCAACAACAAAAAAGGTCACCTTGAAATCTTTTATTGTTGACCGTTTTATGCATACATTGAAACAGACGAGTTAAATTTTTTAGTTAGAGTTATGGAGATCATTGTTTTTACACATAAAAATCATGAATCCATCATGTTAGACCTCCATCGGAATACAAATGGGTGAGGTCGAGCAAAACCCCTAGACTGATCAGAGTTAGACAATAACACCGTTGTATGCCGGTCCAGTGGACCAGAGGTTAGGCGTTACCGTTCGAATCCTGTGAGGTGCAGTGGTCTTGGATGCGCACTGCTAATGAGTCCCGTGCCAGGACGAAACGGCCTTTCAGTGCTTCCGGGTTTTGCATAGTCGTGGTCTAACAATGACTGATGATTTCTCTGTGTAAAGACAAGTTATAGTTATAAAACAATCAGTCTCTTATTGTCATATTCAATAAAACCGTGTCAATTTGAAGATTTGTAATGGAATTAAACTGTGGTTATTTTGAACAATCTTCTTAAATAAGGGTATTCATATTTGAAAACCAACTGAAAATTAGTTTTCACTTCTTTGATTTATCAGAGTATTTGACACTAACTGCTCATGGATCCATTTAATTCGTTGATCTACATCTTCTCTTTGTAAATACGTTCCCGAATGCATGAGAATTCGTAAATGTCTCAGAATATGATATATCTGATTGTGAGATACTTAGGGGTTTTATAGTGTAGTGAAGGAGAACACAGATGAGGGTAACCGAATTGTATTTAACGAAAATTACAGAGTTACTCAGTAAAATAGGAAAACCATATCGTAAACGGTTAATTTGCAAATCTTCAATCCATCATCAATCCATTGTCTGACATTGTCACTATTCATGCGTTTCACATACAAATTCCTTTGTGTTACCATTCTTTCTTTCTTGATCTTCCCCCATCTTCTGCTGCCAGACATTACGTTTACACTCGCGTCATATACTACTTATAAGTAGCACGCACCACAATAGAATCAGGGACTTGATCTTGTCAATAATCATCGATTTCACTACTATTCTCTGTTTTTAGCATGGCTGATTTTAGTTTACGTTTCTAAGTTGCACCATCTGATTTTACAGACATAGCGTGAAATCTTTTCCGAAATAGAATCAAGAAGAAGTTTGGACATGAACTAGTTATTTTACTGATTTGTAAACCTTAACGAATATCAGTTTAGCATTCAAGTCTCAAAATGCAAAATGTTGCTTCAGGATTGGCTTGCATCTGCGCCTGAACTAGTGATGGGAAGTGAAGCAGTTGGACGTGTCGACCGCTTCAATAATCTCAAAAGTGTTGATGGCCTGGTGTCTGGCGAAATCTCGGCACAGATACGTAAGGCTAAAATGGCTTTTGCCAACTTGAGTCACTTATATAGTAGGCTAGATATCCGTCTACAGACCAAAGGACGAGTCTACTACTCAGTAGTTCATTCCTTCCTACTTTACGGGTATGAAACATGACTAGTAACAATAGACGATATCCGTAGGTTATTGGTATTCAATCATAGATGTCTTCGAATCATTGCTCGTATATCCTGGAACGACTGAGTAAGTAATACTGGTCTTAGGAAAAGAGTACTAAGTAAGGGTGGCAGATCACTTGATAATGTACTAAATGCTCATCAGTTGAGGTGATTGGGACAGGTGTTATGTATACCTGTTGGGGATGTTAGATCCCCAAAATTCGCTTGATAATGCCGTATTTCGGTTTTCACGTTCGCCAGCAGGGGCTGATCAAATGACCTTGAGATTTCAATTCCCACCAGGAAAATCAATGGCTGTGATTGGCCACAGTGTATTTTAGTATGCTATTTTCTTAACTGTCTCAAGGACGTTGTTATGTTGTATAAATAAACGAGAGTTGTATGCTTGATTGTACTGGGATTGCTGGGTGCTTGTAGAATATACTTCTACGCCTACAAAGTCTTCTATTTCGATTCTGGGATTCAGGGTAGCCTTCCTGGAAGCTGGTAAAAGCATCGTTGGCGTTTATCGACTAAGGTAAACTCGTAATAGCCTCAAGCATCCTAAGTGACGAACTTATCAGTGGCGACGGGGCTCACAATTCACAATGTCAATTAATCTTGAACAGTTAGAATCTTTACTGGAACGTCAAGCAAAACGATATGAACAGTTTCAGGAACGTATGTTGGAGCTGTTAATGAAACAAATGAATTTGAATCACAGAGGTTTTGCCGATGATTCATATAATCCGCATACAGACTCGATAGTTAATTCCATTCATGAATTTCATTTTGATGGCCTTGCTGGTGTGACTTTCGAGTCTTGGTTTAAGAAGTATGAGGATTTGTTCAAGGTCGACCTCAACAATCTTGATGACGCCACCAAAGTCAGAATCCTTTTGAGAAAGCTCGGCATAATCGAACACGAACGTTATAGTAATTTCATCCTCCCAAAGAACCCACGAGATTTCTCTTTTGATGCTACAATTGATACGCTGTCGCAAATCTTCTCTGAACAGTCATCTCTCTTTAATATTCGTTATCAATGCCTCAAAATAATCAAGTCAAATGAAGATGACTGGGTAAAGCATGCTGGCTTAGTAAATCGTGAATGCGAACGATTTAAATTATCATCAATGACGGAAGATCAGTTTAAGTGCCTTGTGTTTGTGTGCATCTTATAATCGCCCGACGATGCTGATATAAGAACCAGAATCCTATGTAAAATTGAACAGTGCCCAAACATCTCGCTTCAAGAAATAACTGCAGAGTGCCAGAGATTAGTAAACTTGAAGCATGATACCTCCATGGTCGAAAACAAGGGCCTCTCATCATACGTGCATTCCATTAGTGAAAAGAAAAATTCCAATTCGGCCCAAAAACCCAAAATGAATCCACCTTCTGCTTGCTGGCACTGCGGTTCATGGCACTATGTACGGAACTGCCCATGTAGTGAATGAGAACACAGGTGGAGGCAACCGAATTGTATTTAACGAAAATTACAGAGTTACTCAGTAAAATCGGAAAACCATATCGTAAATCGTTCATTTGCAAAGGATCAGTTCATCCTATGGAACTGGACTGTTCCTGTTGCCAAACATCAATCCATTGTCACTCTTCATGCGTTTCATACAAATTCCATTGTTTTCTGACTCTTCCTTTCTTGATCTTCCCCCCATATTATGCTACCAGACTTTACGTTGACACTCACGCTATATACTACTTATAAGTAGTTCGCACCACAGCACCACACTCGTCCCCCCTTTTAATAAGCTGTCGTCGCAGTCTTTCTGATCTCCGTACAGCCGTCTTCTTCATCAGTGTTTGTGGCTCGCCCTCTTGGCGCACTTGGAACCACCTTTGGAGTTCACTGGCATTCACGCGTTTCTGTTTGTTTCCTTTCTGGATCGTATACACTGCGCCGCGCCTCTCGGTGACGACGTACGGTCCCTCCCACTTCGGGATCAGCTTACCTGACCCTGGCCCTCTTCCT